CCAGTTGGGCTGCACACATGCGTGGTCCCACATATTCACTGAGGTGAGCTGCAGACATAGGGCTGTGTGGTACCACATGTGTGCAGCTTGGATGGTAAGTGGCATCTATAGTCAAGGGTCCCTCTGTGGCCTCAGAGGAGACCCAGGGCCCTGATGTCCAGCTGAAGTGAGGAAGAGGAAATGAGGCTGGGGAGAGAGGAGCTCAGCTGGGAGGATTTGGGTTCACGCACACAAGCATGCATGCCAGGTGGAATGTGCTTTTTCTTTGCTATCTTCCTATTGCCTTGGATCAAATCAGGGATGACAGAAATCAGGGAACGGAATAAGCTGGGTAAAATCCTACATGACTGGGGTTGGGAAACACTAGCTGGTGGGAAGAGCTTCACCTGTGGAAACCTGTTTCACCACTTCCTAGCTGCATGGCCTTTAGCAAATTATCCAACCTTTCTCACCTTCCATTTCCAATCTGTAAGATGGGGATAGAAGAGTCCCTCCCTCCTGCAGTGTTGGGAGGGTCGATGGAGGTGTCGGATGTATCAGAGGCACTTCATAAATAGTTGTTATTAGTTCATTCATCTGATCCGTATCTCCTGGGCCCTGCTGCTTTGCAAGACCCTGTGGTCTGGGCTGGCTTCAGTTCCTGGCTTCAGTTAATAAAAACATGTTGTGCATAAAAAACTGTGAGATCAGCAATAATTAAGTCAATTAAAATGTCACTTACCACATTAATAGCAGTGAGTTTTAAAGCAACAAAGCCCCTGAGTTTGGTGGGAGAGGAACATTCCAGCCACAGGGGTTGGGGAGGAGAGAGGTAAAATTACTTCTTAACTCTGTTCTCCTTTCCCCACCTGGAGCTTGTGACACCTTTTTAGAGCCTGGCTCCATCCCCACATCTGCTGGAAAAGATGGATACCCCTTCCCAACATTCAACACCCCCTCCTCCAAAAGAAAGAAGGAATATAAATGCAAAATCACCTGTAATCCCTTCTGCTATCTCCCAGAGGTAACCTCTGTTAATATTTCAGGGTATAGCCTTCCAGATTTTTTTCTATGCATAATTTATATATACATTACAAAAATGGGATCCCATCATGCATACTGTTTTGTTACCTGTTTCTTCCATTCAGCAATAGATTGTGAACATCAGTACATACAGATATCTCATCATTGTTTTAAACTGTGGCACTGTGTTCCATTGTGGGCACTCCTGTCCCTTGTTTACTGAACTAATCCTCTCTCGATGGACAGTTCAGTCCCAATTGTTTGCCAACATAAGCCAGTGCCGTGAAAAATGTTTCTGTGCACATATCTCTGCATACTTGAAGGATAAATTTCTAGAAATGAAATCGTCGAGTCAAAGACGATATACCCTCTAAAGGCTTTTGATGCAAGGACTAAAGAGCTCTTTCATCAGTGAGGTAGGAGAGGGACATTTCCCATTCCCCTAGATAAACCTGCGTAATAATTTTTCTTCATATTTGCTAATCTGCTTGGTAAAAAATTATATCTCATTATTTCTATTTTTATTTCTTTGGTCAGTAAGACTGACCTTTTGTCATATGTCAGTTAGCTATTTCTTCCTTAATGCATTGTTTTTTCATTTACTTAACCCGTGTTTTACTAAGGTGACCATCTTTAAAAAAATTTTTTTTTTTAATAGACAGGGTCTCACTATGTTGCCCAGGCTGGCCTCCTGGGCTCAAGTGAGATCCTCCTGCCTCAGCCTCCTGAGTAGCTGAGACTACAGGCATGAACCAGCACATCTGGCTTCTCTTTTATTTTTATCTTTATTTGTACTATTTATTTTTTTAAATCAATTTTGCTATGCCATATACAGTATGCGGTAAGTATTTTTCCAGATTTATTGTTTGCCTTTTCTCTTTTTTTTTGAGACAGAGTCTCACTTTGTTGCCCAAGCTAGAGTGAGTGCCGTGGCATCAGCCTAGCTCACAGCAACCTCAAACATCTGGGCTCAAGCAATCCTTCTGCCTCAGCCTCCCGAGTAGCTGGGACTACACACATGCGCCACCATGCCCGGCTAATTTTTTCTATATATATTAGTTGGCCAATTAATTTCTTTCTATTTATAGTAGAGATGAGGTCTTGCTCAGGCTGGTTTCGAACTCCTGACCTCGAGCAATCCTCCCGCCTCAGCCTCCCAGAGTGCTAGGATTACAGGCATGAGCCACCACGCCCGGCCTGCCTTTTCTCTTTATTTATGGTGTTTTGCTATACTGATGTTTAAACACTTTTTCATCGCTATGTCTAGCATTCTTTCCTCTTAGGTTTCTAACTTTGGGGTTATGGCTATTTTGCAGAGTGGGCTTCTGTGAGTGAGTGTTGTTGGAATGTGTTAACATGTGAGTGTTGACTCAGAAATCTGTAAATCTAGCCCTCAGCTCCAGACTCTATATCCCACTGGCCATTGGACATTCATACTCGGAAGTCACATTCATATTTCACTCTTGCCATGTCCCCCAAACATAATTTCCATTCTCTCCCTCCCCAGACCTGCTTCTCCAACCTAATGCTCCTTATTCAGGAGAAGAGCCATCCGCACTCAGCTGTGCAAGCCACAAACTCAAGTTATCCTTGTTTTTGCCCTCTTCTTCTCACATAACTAACCTGTCAGCAACCATGTTGAAGCTACTTTGTACGATGTCTAGAATCTGACTGCTGCTCACCCCCACCTCCCCCTTGGTGAAGGCAGTGTGGTCACCAGCCTGGACAACTGCAGTGGCCCAGTGGCCTGGTCTCTCTGCTTTTCTTCTGGCCCCCTGGAGTCTATTCTCTGGATAGCAGCCGAAGTGCGCTTTTAATAACAAACCCTATCATTTTACTCCCCTGTTCAAGACCCTCCAGGGGCTTCCCATCACACTCAGGGTAAAACCCAAGCTCCTCCTCTGGTAGCCGGCTCCTTCCTGCTCTCCAGCTTCGCCTCCTCTACTGGCTCCACCCTCTGGGCTCCAGCCACCCTGGGTTTCTTTCTTTCTTTTTTTTTGAGACAAGAGTCTCACTCTCTTGCCTGGGCTCCAGTGCCGTGGAGTCAGCCTAGCTCACAGCAACCTCAGACTCCTGGGCTCAAGTGATCTTCCTGCCTCAGCTTCCCAGGTAGCTGGACCCAGAACTACAGGCATGCGCCACCATGCCCAGCTAATTTTTTTTTCCTATTTTTAGTTGTTTTGGCTAATTTCTTTCTATTTATAGTAGAGATGGGGTCTTGCTCTTGCTCAAGCTGGTCTCAAACTCCTGAGCTCAAGCAATCTTCCCGCCTCGGCCTCCCAGCATGCTAGGATTACAGGCGTGAGCCACCATGCCCTACCCTACTCTGGTTTTCTTGCTGTTACTTGTACACAAGCTTTTTCATGCCTCAGGGCCTATGTCATTGCTGTTCCTTCTGCCTGGAAAGCCTTTCCCCCAGAGCTTCACGGGGCTAACTTCAAGTTTCTGCTCAAATATCAGAGAGCTCTTTCCTGACCACACATTACAAAATGATCTCTCCTTTCCCTCTTGTCATTCTCCTCCCTGCCTTATTTTTCTCAGACCACTTATTCCTGTGCGACGTTATTACATGTATTTTTATTTGTTGTTATACATTCTCCCCATCCAGGAATGTAAATTCCATGAAGTTAGAGACTTCGCTTGGTATTTAGTAGGTGGGTGCTTAAAAAATACGTGTTGAATGATTATGTGTAATATACAAATGTGCCAGAGTGTCATGTTTGTGTGTTGATGTATCTGCAGCAAGAATAGATATCTGTAAGAATGTCTGTGTGTGGAACTGTGGGGATGGTGACGTTGAATCTGTGTGTGTGAATAGGGCGGCTTCTGTGACTTCCTTGCCAAGAATGTCTTTGCACACGTGTTTGTGCATGCAACGTGTGTGTGCTTGTCTGCGACTGTGTGTTGGTGTGCATGCTGTGGATGTTTGGCTGTGTATGGTGTGTTTCAGTGGGGATGGGAGCTGATACACCTGGTCATGTCTTCCTCCCATCAAATGGACCCGCCATTGCCACAGCCTTCCCCTTCCACCTCTCACACCTGGGATATAGGAAACATGTTTCTATCTTTGGGAGACTGCAGACGTGGGTCACATCCCCAAAATAGCATTTCATGCTGGTGCAGAGTGAGTGCACAGACAGGACCATTGAGGCTGTGATAAGGTGGGGCCCTGGATTAGTTGTGTGGCCTCAACATGCCACTGTTCTTTCTCTAAACCTCGGTAGACTCATCTGTAAATAGGGCTCATTGTTCTTGGCCTGCTTGCTTCTTGGAGAGATGGTGAGAATAGAGTGAGATAATGGCAGTGAATGTGTAACAGTCAACAATAATACTCTGATGTCTGTGCAAGACATCAAGGTTTTAATCCACGGTCTCATCAGAGTGAATGACTCAATGGGGACTCTAGCTCTGGACTTGGCTCCAGGTGGTCCTCAGTGGGACTTTGCTGATTAAATAATAAGTGTGTGAGTGAATCAGAAATGTACCAGTGGGGGAGTGCCTAGGTAATTGAAGGAAGAGATGATTGCATAAAGCAGCAAATGGGCTGGCAAATCACAATGACCAACACCTTTGAACACATATTGTGTGCCAGGCCCTATTGCAAAGGCCTCTCTTAATCCTTGCAACAACCCCAAGAGATAGGTACTATTATTAACTCTGTTTTGCAGAATCTGAGGGTCAGAGAAGTTAAGTGATGTGCCCAAAGCCACAAAACTCCTGAGTGGGGGCGTTGAGATTCCAGCCCAGGCAGGCTGACTCTAGAGCCCATAACGTTAAACCCTACGCTGGTCCTGCTGAGTGAATCAAAGAGTGAGTGGGCGGGTGAAGGACTGAATGCAGGAGCCCTCACACCCTAAGCCATGGGCAAGACAGGCCACTTCCTGGTGGAGAGCTTCTGCCCCCTCGGAAGGTGGGCATCCAGGGTCTGGACTGGGGTGGGTCTCCCTGGGGTAGAGTCTGACGGCCCTGCCTCATGTCCTTCTCCCTCTTCCCGTCAGCAGGCGGATGCTGCCATGCAGCACTACGGGGTGAACGGCTACTCGCTGCACGCCATGAACTCGCTCAGCGCCATGTACAACCTGCACCAGCAGGCAGCCCAGCAGGCCCAGCACGCCCCCGACTACCGGCCTTCGGTGCACGCGCTCACGCTGGCTGAACGCCTGGCTGGTAAGGGCCGTGGGGATGGCACCATGGGGACAGGACTGTGGGGGCTGGGGAGGAGGGACAGACTGGAGGAGGAGGCTCTGGAAGGCAGAGGGAAGGAGCACTGGCCAGAATTGTTCTGGGCAGCTCAGAAAGGCTCAGGTCACTTAGCAACGCAGAGATGTCAATTCAATATCCGTGCATGTATGTCTGGAGCATGCCTTGTTTGCTAGCCCTGTTCAGGGGACTGGAGCGTCCCTCTGCCTTCACATTCTCTTAAAGCCTGTGAGGGAGGCTTTAGCCCCATATCACAGATGAAGAAACCGAGGAAGGAGAGTGAGGGACTAGTCCCAAGTACTATAGCTGGGAAGAAGCTGGAAGGAGCCTGGAATGCCCAGGGGAAGAGGTTCCAGGCACAGGGAATTGTAAATAATCGTGGTTCCCACGTTTTGAACACCAGCTGTGGGCTAGGCTCTGTGCAAGTTTTTCTCTTTACATGGGCACCTTCAGTCCCAATGAGGAGAGGGTGTTATCTCTATTTTAGGGACATTTTAAGGAAACTGAGGCACAGAGAAGTTAAATCTGGGTGGCAGTGAGGTTGGAGCATGACATTATGGCTAAAACTATGACCTCTGAAGTCACAGACTTGTGACTAGTTCGGGGTTTGCCCACTCACCTCTCTTTTCTCTGAAGCTCAGTTTCCCCTGTTATAAAAAGGAGACAATGGCAGTGCCCATCCCATAGCATGCTTGGGAGGTTACTTGAGGTAACATGTGAAAAGTATTCAGCAGAGCCTCACAGGTACTTGGAAGTTACTATTACCCAAAGCCCAGGGTCAGTACCCATGAGGGAGCTGCAGCCTGGTCCCCCTACTCTTGGGTTAGCTGGTTATTGCTCTGTTCTGCCAGCCCCTCAGGGATGTGAGAAAGATTCAACATGGGGAGCTTGATTTCCTGGGAGATGATGCCACCCACTCCATCCTGCCCCAGGCCAAGCTGGTAAACTCATGTGGGCCCAGCCCTGTGCCAGGCTGTCCTCAGACGACTTCACAGCACTCCTAGGGAGAACAGGGGCCCACAGACCCATGAGACCGCATGGAAGGAGTGTGGCCAGGGTCAAATGATGGAGCAGCTCAGAGAAGCAGGATTAGCTGGTGTAGTGAGCGGGGGCTTTCTGCAGGCTATGGGGCAGGAACCAGGCCTTAAAAAGGCATGGCAAAGAGCAGGGACCAGCGTGAGCAAAGGCATAGAGGTGAGGTGGGATCTGAGGACATGGCCTGGCAGGTAGGGCGTGGCCAGTCCCACCACTCCGTTAGACGCTGCTAGGCCTCTGGCAGGACTCAGTGCATAAAACCTCCAGATCAGTGTGTAGGCATTGGTCTCCAGTGTGGGGGTGGTGGATGCAGTCCTGGCCTAGCTATGATGGGTACTTCCTTGGTTTGGAGTGATTTCTCTGTGCCCGATCTGGTGGTGACATAAGCTCCTGACAGTGTTCTAGGACCCACGGACAAGAGCACAGAGAGGAGGAGTCAGGAACAGAGGCTTGTTTCTGCTGGTGAGGCAGAGGAGCTGGGGTATTCAGCCTACACCCCAGTTCTCTGATTCCTAAGAGAGAAGGCCATGAGCTCCAGGTGAGCATTTGTATGGAGGCCTCGCCTCTCAGCAGACATTCTGGCCGTGATACAGAGAGCCTGGCCTTCCTGTGACCACCCCTGCTCGCAGTCCCTGGAGCCAGCAGTGGGATGCTGAGCTGTTGCTCCCCTAACCAGGCTGGGGCTGCCTGAGTGGCCCCCACTCCTTCCCCTGCCTCAGGGTGACCAGCATGATCTCAGGGCTTGGGGCTGGGATTAAGGCCAGTTTGTGAGGGGCTCAGGGCTCCCTCTTTAAACAGAAAGAGTATCCCAAAGTCTGGAGCTCCCTGGAGACCCGGTTGCCTCTTTCTTCCCATTTAGGGTATTGTGGATGACTCCACAGTCCCCACAGTGCAGGGGAAGGACTCTGGCAGCCCTGTGCAGAGGCCGAGACCTCTGAGAACTGGGGTTCCTCTCAGCACAGATGGGGCAGGAGCCACATATGAGGTGGCGGGAGGCAGTGCGGGGTGAGGGACTAGTCAAGCAGAGGGGCTAGAGGTGGACACCAGCCCGAGGCAGACGCTATCTTGGGTGCTATCTCAGGTCTGTGACCAGACCCAAGGGCAGGACATGGAAACAGTGGTCCACCAGCCCCATCTTCCCTCCAGGACTGGGGTAGTTGGAGCCTGGTCTTTTGTCCTTCTGTCCTTGGGGAGATAGTTGAAAGGATCCAGACTGAGTCCAACAAGTTTTCCCTGAGACCTGAGGGCCCTGCCAGAGCCAGGCTTTCTGTGCAGGAAACATAAGAGCAGGAGCCTCTGGCGCTGCCCTAAGAGACTGGTAGGAAAACTGGGGTGATGAGATTTACACGCAGAGGACGGAGAGTTATGTGCTGGTGAGTTCTCTCTGCATAGTCAGACTCCCCTCACTAGGAGGTGAGCACCCCAGGCTGCCTTGTCACAGTCAGGGCTAGGGTTCTGACAGTAAAGAAGTCTTACTATCCAGCATCCCAGGGCTGCAGGGTGTTAGAACCTTTGAGACATGGACTTACAGATCATTAGCATCATGTAGTCTCAGAATATTATACTCATAGTATCCTGCGACTATGGACCTCAGGGCAATACCCAGCTCCCCACCCTCCGTGCCAAATAAGGACGACCGCCGCAATCACATGCCTGACAGCCATTCATGGAGACCTCTGTGGTCCTGAGAGTGGATTGAAGGGTGGGGAGTTCTTGAAAATCCAGCTGTATGGAGAGGGATGGGTGACTCCCAAGGGCAAAGGGCCAGAGGCCAGCTCTGGGAGCAGCCTGAGTGTCCACAGTGGGTCAGAGCAGGATCAGATTCGAACCTATTTCCCATAATTAAATGGGCCCCCTCTCCTTGCCCTCCAACGGCTGTACATTTCAAGACATCATCTTGGAGGCCCGCTATGGCTCCCAGCACCGCAAACAGCGTCGCAGCCGCACGGCGTTCACGGCTCAGCAGCTCGAGGCCCTGGAAAAGACCTTCCAGAAGACTCACTACCCGGATGTGGTGATGCGCGAGAGGCTGGCCATGTGCACCAACCTGCCTGAGGCCCGGGTGCAGGTAGGGCCAGCTCCCCTGACCAGGCCTTACAGACAAGCACCTGGCCCCTTGTCCAGCAGCCAGCATTGCCTCCCTCATGCCAGGGTGCAAAGCCTGTGGTGACAGGAGGGGAGTTTTGGGAGGGAGAGAGGGGGTGTGTTTCCTGGGGTGGGGGGCAGTGTTGCCATATACAGCCTCTCCCCGAGCACCCTGCTCCACAACAACCCTACGTCTTCTTTCCTCTCCACTTCTGACTGCTCCTCTCCTGTCCCCAGGTGTGGTTCAAGAACCGCAGGGCCAAGTTCCGGAAGAAGCAGCGCAGTCTGCAGAAAGAGCAGCTGCAGAAACAGAAGGAGGCTGAGGGCTCCCACGGGGAGGGCAAGACCGAAGCCCCGACCCCAGACACCCAGCTGGAGACTGAGCAGCCCCCCAGTCTGCCCAGTGGTGACCCCCCTGCTGAGCTCCACCTGAGCCTGTCCGAGCAGTCGGCCAGTGAGTCAGCCCCCGAGGATCAGCCCGACCGTGAGGAGGACCCCCGGGCAGGGGCTGAGGACCCCAAAGCTGAGAAGAGCCCTGGGGCTGAGGGCAAGGCGCTGGGCTGCAAGAGGGGCAGCCCCAAGGCAGGTGAGGCTTGGGAGGGGCTGGGACAGGCTGGGGCCTGGGTGTGCGAGGTGGCCAGAGCAGGGGGTGGTCAGCACCTGGCACTCAGGGGCATCACCAGAGCGGGCCTGGGCCGGGTGTTCAACCTTGAGTTGCTGAGTCGTGGGAAGGTCTCTGTTGGTTCTGTGGGAGGGGTTGGGTGGCGGGGGTGGGGGGGACTTGGGGAGCCCAGGGCAAACATTATTTATCAACCATCTGGGAGTATTCCAATGTTTTAGTAATGAGTACGGACATACCGGTGCACACCGAGTGAGTGCTGTGTCGGTACCAGAGATTCCCACATGAGCAGCACAGCTAGGGGAGCTGCGTTAGGAGTGGGTGGGGACTGTGAGCTGAGAGCTGGAGGGAGGGGGTGGGATCGGTGGACAGAGGGGAAAGCAAAGTAACAGCCCTTGAAAAGAAAGAGGGGTTCCCCAAGGACAGACATGGGGGCCTTGGCAGGGTCCCCCTGGATCCCTCCCTCCAGGGGTTTTGAGCAGTGCTTCAGGGATGGCCTGGCTGAGATGGATGGATATGGTTTCAGCCACAGCCTGTACTGTCTGCAGTGCCAAGAGGGTGGGACGGCTGAGGGGGCCTCTCCTGGCAGATGCACCCTTGCCCTGAGTGCCTGGTTCTTGGCTGTCTGTTTGCAGATTCCCCAGGCAGCCTGGCCCTAGCGCCTGCAGCCCCAGGGGGCAGCCTCCTGGGCCCCTCCCACTCCTACTCCTCGTCCCCGCTGAGCCTCTTCCGCCTGCAGGAGCAATTCCGCCAGCACATGGCGGCCACCAACAACCTGGTGCACTACTCATCCTTCGAAGTGGGGGGCCCAGCCCCTGCTGCCGCAGCTGCCGCTGCTGCTGTGCCCTACCTGGGCGTCAACATGGCCCCCCTGGGCTCTCTGCACTGCCAGTCCTACTACCAGTCTCTGTCAGCAGCCGCTGCTGCCCACCAGGGTGTGTGGGGGTCCCCACTGCTGCCTGCACCCCCCGCAGGCCTGGCACCTGCCTCCGCTGCCCTGAACAGTAAAACCACAAGCATTGAGAACCTGCGGCTCCGGGCCAAGCAGCACGCAGCCTCCCTGGGACTCGATACGCTGCCCAACTGACTGTCTGGCCTTCAACCCAGCCAGGGTTCCTGGGTGCCCCCTCCCAGCCCCATGGTTATCCCCAGACGGCTCTCAAGGAGTTAACTCTGTGAGCCCAGGGATCCTGCGCCCTGGCATCCTGTTCCCTGTTCCCCTTCTCCAGCCCCAGCCCGAGGGGGCACCCACACCTACACACCCTCTGCATGGCCCTGCCTGGACCCCATGGAAGCTGAATGGGGAGGAGGTGAGAGGCTGGGGTGCCCCAGCTTCCCTTTGGGAGGCGAGAGGCTATCACTGGCTAGATCCCCACCTCAATAGACCTTCTCCCTTCTTTCCCTCCCCTTCTGCCCCTAGTCAGTCGATGTGTGGAATGTGACATATAAATATAAATATATAAAGCTATATTTTCAGGCACCTGCCTGCCCCAGGTCCCCTGCCCTGCACTCATCTCTTCTCCGCTGCCACCCTTGCCTCCACCTCCAGCCTCTGCAGCTCACTCCAGCCTTCTCTCTCCCTGACTCCATCTCCTTTCCTCCCTCCCTCCATCTCCCTCTCCCTGCCTGGGTCCGTCAGGCCCTCTCTGCCCAACCTCTGCCTTTCTCTGTGACTCTTCCCTGACCCCTGGTTTCTTCCTTTGGTGCTGACTGTGTTGTGTCATCAGTTCCTAAGCTATGTTTTGTTTGGAGTTGTGGCTGTTTGGGTTTTAGTAATTTTGCTTCTTCTTGTTCCTCTCCTTCTCTTCCCTCCCTGCTTCGTCCCTGCCTGCCTGTCTCTCCCCGCCTGCACCCTCTCCAGACCCCCCTGCTCCTTCCCAGGCTCTAGGGGCAGCAAGGCCCTAGCTGGAGACCCTGTGGCTCAGGAGCTGCAGGCAGGAAGTGGCACTGGCCCCTGCACCCACCCTCCCCCAGGCCTGACACCCAGAAGGAGTCATGGGTCACTTTCTCTTCTCTCTGCTCAGTGTCGAGGTCCCAGTTCCCTGGATTGAGGCGGCGATAGTCAAGCTGGGGCAGGTGGTAGAATGGGCAGCATCCCTGCCTGTAAGTCCTCCCAGGACAGTGGTCTGGTGTCAGCATTCACCCAGGACTGACCACAGGGCTCTGGAGCTGTCTTTGGGGAGACGTCCCTGGTGGGAAGGAGGCAGCAGGGGGAGTGGGGCCTCAGAGAGAACAGGGGTGGCGCTGCTCTCCCACACCCAGACTCCAGGCTCCACAGGTGCTGTCCTCCCAGGAGTGCGCCTGAGCCAGGCACCCAGGCTGAACTCTGGCTCCTGGTCTCGGTGAGTGCAAACCATACAGAGCACACAGGCTCAGGCTGCTGGCGGCTTCCCGGAGCCAATTGTTGAAATAAGGGCTTTTGTCCAGCTAGTCTCTGGGACGGAAAGGTGTGTTTCCCTGGCCAGGAAACCCAGCTCAGAAACTCCCTTTCAAAGCTGTGTGACCTTGAGCAAACCTGTAGCCTCTCTGGGCCCATTTCCCCGGCTGGGTTAGATGGCCTGTGAGGCCCTGTCCAGCTCTACATTCTCCCTTCTGTGCTCACAACCTTGCAAGTCAGAAGTTTTTAGTTAAATTGACAACAACAACAACAAAGCTCTCGGAAGCAGCATGTATAATTAGAAAATTACTATTGGCTTGCTGTGGATTAAGAGGCATTGTATGTGTAAGCGTCTCTGTGGACCTTGCCTCGGTTTCCCCATAAGTATGATGGTCCCCTTGTAGTTCAGACAATCTGGATTTGATACTGCTTTTCTTGAGTTCCAGTGCCAGCTTCCGGGTCATCTCATTCCCATGCCTTCACATGGTCTCAGGCGCTCCGGGCAGAGGGAGGAGGACAATTTGGACAGATTCCTGTCCTGGGGTTGATCCCCAACCCCTTGTGTCTCTCCAGTGAACACTCCAACCCCCACCAAAGCAGCTGATCTGAAATCCAGGATAAGGATTCCTATGGCTCGCTTCCTGTCCCAGCGGGAAGAGAGGTTCTCTTGGTGCCCTAGTAGGATAGGTTTGCAGGATAGTCAGCATCCATCATCCCTGCAGGGGGGTCAGTCTGGGCTGGGGCAGGTGCAAAAAGCTTTGGACAGGAATAAGGTGAGGGGGATGTTAGCTGGAGCCAGGAAACCTGTGAACAAATCAGTGGAGACGATAAGTGGACCACAGGGAAGGGGGTGGCCAGCTCCATGAGAGACAGGGTCGTGAGGCCTGGAATCCAGGCTAAAGACCTCACCTCCACATGGCAAGTACCATGACAGGCAGCTGAAGGTTTCAAGACACCCCTGAGGTGTCTTGCTGAGGTCTGGAATTTGGGAGGTGCATGTAAGAGCCATGGCATCATCATCAGAGGAGAGACTTAGACAGGGGTCTGGGAGGTTGGCACAGACTCCAGGAGAGATGGAAGGGGTTCCGAGGCCCATGGCGCAGCGACTGTCCTCTGGGATCAGACCCCAGGAAGTTCTGTTTCTAAAACAACAACAACAAAATCTCATCTGGCCCAGGCACGGGAAGCCGAAGCTTTTTGTCTGTCCCTGGCTGTGAGTGACTGTCACTGGGCCTTGAAATCCAATAGCCCTGGATATTACCACCTCCTCCAGGAACCCTCCCCTGACCTCCTAAGGGGCAAGTCCATCTAGAATCATGCTGTGACATGGCAGGAGCCAGGCCCACCTTAGGCTCAGCCCAGCTTCCCTCAGATACTTTCCCCATTCAACTGACCCAAATCCACAAGCCCAGAGAAGGCAGGGAAGGTGTATGTGGTCCCTGCCCTGGGGCAGCTCTCAAGCCAGTTTAGGGCACCAGCCTCAGGGACTGAGGACAGTCGGAAGGCAGGGGAGAGCTGCTTGTAGGCAGCACTAAGCATCTCCTCGGGAGGCAGAGGGTGTGGGCTTGGTGGGCCCGCCTCACCTGACACTGAGGCCTGCTGGCCACCCCATGGGCCGAGAGCCTGGGCGCAAGCTGTGGCCGTTCCCTCCAGGAAAGCCTCTTGCCTGGCCTCTCCCTCCTATTTGAGGTTTCCTTTCCCTGCTTCTTCACTCCCCCAGAGCATGGTTCCGGGGCCTGTGTCCCCACCCCACCTCTGAGACTGCTTTCCGAACCAGCCGTTTTGTGACCATTTGTGCTTAGAGGTCGTGCCAGCCCGTGGCAAAAACACTGTGTACTGTATTTATTTATTCTGTTAGTTGAAAAAACAAGACTCAAATCACCCTCTCCCCACCACCGTGTAGTGCAGCATGATGCTCTGTGTATTTGTCTGTCTGTCGGTCTTACTTCCTGTGACGTGACCTGTTCTTTGTCCTATTTGGCTAATAAAGGAGAACCCAGCAGCACAGACCTTGGTCCATGTTCATTTCCAGAGATGCCTGCAGTGGGCTGAGCAGGTAGCATCTCAAGGTCTATTTGCTGCCCCGCTGACGCTGTGGCCAGTGGGGAGAGAGGCGAGTCTGCCACACGACTGGCCACTGCCTCACGTGGCTGCATGGGTCTCTCCAGTTTGCAGCGGGGCTGCCACTCTGGATTGGGTGCAGGGGAGCAGAGGGTGGGAGAGGGCTCCATCATCTCCATGCTTTTTGGACTTCACCCAAGCATAGGTGGCAGGGCAGCCTGGGACAGGGGACAGCTGGGACAGGAGATACCTGGGAGTATTGAGGGTAGCCTGGGGCATGGGTCTGCAGGACAGAAAGAGGTGGAGGTTCTGTGGGAAACTGCAAGTAAGCCAGGGCCAAATGGGAATGATAGGAAGGCACATCTGGATCTAAAGCCAGGGCCATTCTCCAGCAGAATGGGTGACCTTCAGAGGGAGTGAGCTCTTTGTCCTCAGAGGCGAGCAAGCAGAGGATTTCTGCTACGGTGCACTGCATGTGTGCATGTGTTCTTACAAGTTTACATGTAGGCTTGAGAACCTGTGCCATGAATTCGTAAGTATCTGCTTGCATCCGTGTGGGTACAAGCACATGCGCAAGAGACTGGGAGACTGGATATATCTGCAGTAACTGCAGAAAAAATGCACAACTAAGGAGTTCTTGCTGCGAAGTCCTGGTCTCTCCTGCCATATTTCAAGACGAGGACAAGAGATCTCCACCACTCAGGCCTCACTGGCCTGGCTCCACCTCCCTCCCTGGAGTTCCGGTGTGTCTACACAGGGCCTGAGAGCCAGAAGGGGCGGTGCATGCACCTGGCTGAGGTTTGGAAGGGAGGTGACAGTCCCCTCTGTCTAAAGATTTCCTGGCACAAGAACCCCATCAGGCCTGAATGTGTGCAGGGAACTACCCGCTGGGCTTCCCAGGGCCCTGACCTCCCCACTTCCCAGGTTGACCCCAGGAGATGCATTCCTCTCACCCGGTGGGGCTGAGGATTAGGGCAGGGCGTGTCTCCCCTTCACCTGCCCAGCCTCCCTGGGAGGGGCTGACAGATCAAATGTCTGCCCCAAATCTCCCACTGCTCCCTCTCCTGCCCTGAGCCACCCGCCCCCTCCCCCAGCCAGGAGTGCCTCCTACATACCTCAGCTTCAAGGGACACACCTTCCTTGGCATACGGGGCACCCTGGTAACACTGCAATTCAAATCACTCATTCACTCAGCATTTGCTGAGCACCTGCTGCATGCCTAGCCCTGTGGCAGGCACTGAGTAGCTAGAAACAAGGAAAACACTTCCTGAGACAATTACAACACAGGGTGATTTGGGGTTCAAAAATAAAGAACTGTGGGAGCACAGAAGAGATGCTCTAGCTTGGTCTGGGGAGGTGAGAAAAGTCCCTTGGGAAGGAGACTTCTGATGTGAGTCCCATAGGTCCAGTGATCACCAGGAGGGCAAAGGGACCCTTGTGTGTGGCACAGCACATACAGAGCTGCGGGACCGGGCCAGCTGGTGAACCCCTGAGCTCCAGAAGAACAAGGTGCCTATCTGGACGGGGCTTGAGGACAGTGGGGACAATGGCAGCAGGGGAGGGCCGGAAGGGAAGTGGAAGCTTGGATTCACGCCCAAGGGCCAGGGCTGTGCAGGCACTGGAAGCCACTCCCAGTGGGGCAGTGGGGTGACCGTATGTGTATTTTAGCGACCTCCCCCGCAACCCCACACATATGCCTTTGGCGTGTGGTGGTTCATGAGAAGGAGCTGGAGGCAGGGAGACCAGAGAGGAGGCCATTGTCACATCCTGGAGAGAGGGGGATGGATTTGATCTGGACTGAGGGAGGGAGAGGAGAGAATGGGTGAGATGATGGAATGATCCTGAGCTCAGGTTGGTCCTGTTTGCCGCCTTGGAGGAGACTTCCACTTATGCAAGGCTCCATCCTGGGTCTCTCTCTGTTGCTGATACGGACTTTGACCAATACTTACATAGCACTTTCTCTGTGCCTGGCACCTTGCAAACAATAAGTTGCTTAATTCTCACACTATTCTATGAGGTAGGTGCTATTGTTACCCCCATTTTACAGATGAGGAAACTGAGGCATAGAAAAGTTAAGTAACTTGCCTAGTATCACACAGCTAGTAATGGGTCGACCGACGGACAAACCTGGCCAGCCTCAGAATCGTTGCTCTTAACCTTGGCTGTCAGCCGGGGACGTGAAGGAAGCCATCAGGGCGAGTGAATAACTGCCCCTCTCTGGTCCTCAGTTTCCTGCTCCATAGAATGGGAATGATTAACTGTGTCAGCCTGCTTCTGAGCTCTGAGGCTCAGAGGAGATGAAGAGGGGAAGGCATGGGGCGGCCGAGAAGCTGAGTGGTGATGTGCCCAGCACGCAGTAGGTGCTCAGACGGCTCCCAGCGGGTGAAATGGGAAAGGCAGGGGCTCCCCAAAGCTTTTTCCCCAATCCCCCCTCTCTTGGGCCTTGGCTGCAGTGTTCTTTCAGCCCAGGGCTCTGGTCCCTTAGGGGCCCTTGTGGAAGGGGCCTCTGCTGAGAAGGTCTAGGGGACGGACCCCTTTAGGGCTGGGCGCCCCCTCATCTCTTTCCCACAGAGCTGCGCTGGGCTGGAGCCCCCCAGCCCCCATCTCTTTCTCCTTTTGCTTCTGGGAAAGCCGATTAGGAGGCGGCCTCCTGCCCGCCCCCCTGACAAGTGTGTCTGAACTTCCAACAAAGGCCCTCAGAGGGCTGCGGAGGGAGGGCTCCACACAGGAACCTGACACCACTGGGCCAGATCACCTCAGCAGCCTAGGAGGCAGTTTCGTGGCTCTGCCCACCCTGCCACCCCATGGCAGGCAGGAATGTGGCTCTGAGAGGGGACCTGGCCCCACAAAGGCTGGGGGCTGGGCCAGGGCACGCTGGGGGCACCTTCCCCTGGGGGCCCTTCACAACGGGAAGGCAGCAGGGGCCAGCGCCCAGGAGGACGGTGGGGGTGTGCACACATTCCCACACACACTGCCACTCAGTCTCTCGCACCCGATTACACCCACACTCCACACACACGCACGACATCTGTATATACACTCTCTCTCATACACGGGGGACGTGATGACTTCTGCACTGGATCACATGATCCCAGCGTGTCTGTCTCCTTATCTCTCATGTTCATGTACACACCCTGCTACAAACCATCAGACACACAGCCCGTGCTCTGTCGCCTGGATGCTGCCCCCTTCCAGACGTGCATTCTTCTTGGCTTACACTCCAGACAGCCCCCGAACACTCAGAGAGTGGCACCAGCTCCCCTCTATAGACAGGCCTCCCGAGCCACTGCCAGCGTGGTGCCTACGATACTCGGTGACTGCTGCTCTGGGCTTGCTGAAGATACTGCCCAAGCGCCCACGTGAGAGCCACACGCCGGTCCTAGCTGCCACTTGTACACCCATGTGCACTGACCCACACGTCCTCCCCAAGGGGCTGCCTGGAGCCCATGTCCTCACACAATGTCCTCCCTCCCAGGGCTGCCTCATGGGCATGTGACCCATGTAGTCGCACAGGGTCCAGCCTCCAAGGGCCCCATAATGTTCTGCTGTCAGGGGTGTCATCACAGCTCACTGCAACTTCAAATTCCTGAGCTCAAGGAATCCTCCTGCCTCAGCCTCCCGAGTAGCTGGGACTACAAGTGCTCACCACCATGCCCAGCTAATTTTCGTATTTTTTGTAGAAACAGGGTCTCGCTTTTGCTCAGGCTGGCTTGGAACTCCTGGCCTCAAGCAATCCTCCCACTCAAAGCCTCCCACAGTACTGGGATTACAGGCATGAACAACTCCACCTGGCCTTGAAATCCTTAATTTTTAAACAAGGGAGCTGAGTGAGGTGGCTCGTACCTGTAATCCCAGCACTTGGGAGGCTGAGGTGAAAGGATCACTTGAGGCCAGGAGTTTAAGACCAGCCTGGGCAGCATAGTGAGATGCCCACCTCTAAAAAAAATAAAATGTATAAAATAAACAAGGGGCCCTACATTTTCATTTTGCACCAGATCCTATAAATCATGTAGCTGGTCTCACCCCCACTCCCATCACAGTCTCCCTCTGCGACTCACCTGCCCCTTCTGTGGTTTCAGAAACCCAAGGTCTCTGGAAAGCCCTTGACTTCTCCCACCTGCCCAAATGCCTCCACTTCCTTTTCCAGCTGAGGTTTTCCTCCCCACCCCCACCCCTCACCAGGCAGCTGAGTGTGATGGGGAGGGAGCTACCGAGAGCATCCTAGACTCCACACCCCTCCCGCTGTCACCTTGGGGCTCAGTGTCCTCATCTGAAAATGGGGCTAATGATAATGCCTACTTCAGGGTTCTTTGTGAGGATTAAATGAGATAACATCTGTAAAACTCTTAGCACAAGCTTGGCATTTACTAAATGCTTAATAAAAGAGATTGCTCAAATAATCACACACATATGAAGGTAAACTACTGCGAGTAAAGGAGTAGGGAGAAGTGCTCACATCTCTGACCTTCAAGGGCCTATGGCTAACGGGAGAGGCCATCTGGGCTAGGATCAGGGATTGGCTCTAGGGAAAGTCACAGCTCAATTAGAGGTCAGAGTTGGAGCTCGGAATGGGGCCAGGGCAGGACTTTATTTGGGGTAAGGCTGGGCTTAGCCTGTGACTAGTGCTAAGTCAGTCACAGTTTCATAGTTTCATTTTTAGCACAGACTTGCTGTGGACCATTTAATAAGCTGCTGGGCTTCTGGGAACCTCTGTTTCCTCATCTGTAAAATGGGGGGATCTCTGCCTACCCCTAAGCTTGTGGGAATTGAATGAGCTAATAATGGACAGAAAGGATTAAACTGCTGCCACCGCTGATGACTCTAAGCCTGGCCCCCTGGGAGGTCCCATCTAGCCCTCCAGGCCAGGAAGGCTGTGCCGCCCTTGCCCATGCCTCCAGCTGCGGGAAACTGCCACCTCAGCCCGGGACCCTGTCCAAGAGGACTCT